CGGGGGGAACCGCGAAGGGGACCGCGGGGGGGACCGCGGCGGCGGGGGCCGGGGAGCGTCGGGAGCCGGGCGGCTGGAGCGGGAGCGCAGGTAACGAGGCATTAACCCATCGCTCTGACTACCCAAAGAAACTGAGGGGTCGCCCTAAAAGGAGAATTTTCCTTTTCGGAAAATGCTCTGACGCCACTACGACCGTGTCCCGCCGCTCCCCCCCCCCCCCCCCCCCCCCCCCCCCCCCCCCCAGCTGCAGCTTTGCTCTGCGAGGGGAAAGGCCAGAACCTCGGAAACATCCTGAACCTTGGGGTTGTGAAACAGGGCAGGAAATCGTACTTTTTTTTGCAGCATTAACAGTTAAACTCCAAAATACCACATGGCTGCTTGGCTCACAGTATTCTGATATTTCTGCTTCCTGACCAAAGCAGATGGTGCTCAGTTACACAGAAACACAATATTAAAAAAAAAAAAAAATGCTAACCAAACCACTTCTACTATTTTCAAAGGTCACTATACGCGCTCCGGATCATGCTTCCGTCCTGTTATTATTTAAATGGAATTGCTTCATCCATCCCTTACTGAAACAGCATGTTTCATAGTACAGCAAGAGGAAGAAAAGCACATTATTGATGGAACAATTCTTGTTCCATAGAAAGGCAATATGAATGTTAGCGGGAAAATACGTATGTGTGTTGTAGGGAGCAAAATGACAAAGGAGTTTAAAAATTTTCCAGAAAATATTGGTCATCTTTAGTTATTAATTGAATATTCATCACAGAATGCAAGGAAATTGGACATTATGAAGCAATAAAACATCAACAGGGCAGACCAAAAAAAGGATAACTCTATATATATTCATATTATTTTTGTCTGAATGCTGAAACAGGTGGTAGGGAAAAGTCTGTAAATACAGCATTTTATGTCGGTCTTTTGTAATGACCTTATTGTGTTATTACTGCTGAAATAAAACCATAAACGTCAAGAGCAAATATTAAAGTAGTCACTTACTTACTTTTTGGTTTCTTACAAATAAAACCCTTTTGGGAAGAGCAAGGAAGGATACTCCAGTAGCCAGAGAACACAGACAACTCCACGCAGTAATCAAGCTGATCCTCCGAGGGCTGTCCTTCACCCCAGTTCACAAAGTCTAAGGCACTGTTGTCTTGCCAAAGCAGCTGCCCTAATGTTGCAAATGTTAGTAGCAATACTAATAGTTCCACATCAAAAATTTTCACTACTATTAGCCTTTCTCTTTTTTTTTTTTTTTTTACTTTAGCCTAATAGAGCAATACTAGTTTCTTCAGAAATTCCCTCTGTGGTTATTTTCTAATGCATTTTATTTCTTTTGAGTCTCTTCTTAAAAACAATATAATTGCTTTTCCAAATTATGATTTGCACATTCACTAATCATAACTTTGTTTCAATTTGCACATCCCCATATTTTTGTCCAGGGGACTAAAGTTTCAAGCAGAAAAACAAATAAAGTTAGGTTGGTTTTTTTTCTTTGCTAAATTATTATTTCGCATTGAAAATCAAGCAACTTTTACTGTAAAGCTTAAACGTACACTTAGTTAAAATTAAAACATTTCTTTTTTTGCATAATGTCTGAAATGAAAAATTTGAAATTAAAATGAATTGACTTAAAATGAATTAAAAAAAAATCTTTTCTGGCGGATTGTGGATTGACACTAGTGTTGTGTTCTTCCAGATGCATGTTTTCCACTGGAGTCTTTTTCTGGCAGCCAGCTGCCTATTTTTCCCCATACGGAGATAGAGAAGCTTGATGTTGTGGGCTCTGGCTGGACAACCACAACTCCCACGCGGGTGCTTCCCAGCCGTGAGAAGATGAGAGCCAGCCGGGACATGTTTCCCACTGGGGCACAGAGCTAATGGGGGGGTGGGGGGTGAAATGCTTTCTCACAGACCAGGAATATGAGACACGTCCTCAGAAAGGGCTGAGGTCAGAGGGATGGATACGTCATTTGCTTTGGTCCTCTGTGAAGTCTTGGTTATGCTCAGCTGTAAGCAGCTGTGCAAAATTATCATCAATTACAGCAAGTCCTGGATCATCTGAATTTAGAAATGAGGCCCCATGATTGCCCCAGGTATGGATAGCTGAAATTACATGTTACATCCTGCTTTCTCAAAGAACAGTATCTTCTGTGTTGTGTCTCTCAAGACATATCCCTATCACCTCTGCACGCTTCTGCTAACTGAACCAGATATAAACTAGAAGATATTTGAGTTGAGGCAGTCCCCGGGCTGGCATCCCTTTGGTGGACCCGTGCAATACCCAAGACTCATAACTGAAGTCAAGAAAATTTCTTTTCCACAGCCTTTCACACCTACTGGATAGAACCATCAACTTCCAAGAATTTTTATATGAATCTATCTTTCTGTTTTTAACTAGTTTCCACTGTACTTTGATTAGTTACTTTAAAACAACAATGTATCTTAATCATATTTCTGTCCATTTAATGGAGTTTATTTATGATTATATAGAGAAATTGAAATAGTTACCGTTTACATTTCTGTATATTCCTATCCAAAAGCCACTTGTCTTGCTTGTGTATAAGTCTGCGTGTTCTACTAAAAAGTTTGATTCAGCCAGATCTTCTACAGAAGCCAATGTACCACCTATGAGAAAACAAACAGAAGATGATGGGAGGTATCCCCTGCCTTAGACGTCAGTGGTAGTTAGAGCCTTTGATACAGGATAAGGTTAATAATAAAACCTCTCCTGCTGGTAGAGAGTAAGCAAGGATTTAAAAAGAGACCAGAAAGTAGTGTTTAGCTGCAGGGGAACAGCTCAGACTGTGAGTGATGTTGTCCGAAATGAAAAGTGGGAAAGCCCAGTGAAGATGATGATTTTGAAACACTGAGCAAAGAGCACATTCTTTTCAAGTGATTGGATAATATTTTTTAAAGGTATTATGGGTGATTATTTATTCTTCATGGATTTGACAGGATATTATGTAGCATGTAATACTGCACAGCAAACAAATTTGCAATTCAAACTTAAGTATTAATTTTTCTGTCAATGGTCGTGGAGCAAAAGGGCTAAAGGATCGAAAAAGATATGAAACAAAAGGACCCATTTCTTTTGGGCAGTATAGTGCTTCCCTTTCTCTTTCACAGCCTCCTGAAGCATGGATGAGGTAGCTGATGATTCAGCAGCATAGGTGGAAGAGGGCCAAGGAGCAGCTCATGGTCTTGGCCAGGAGCAGATGCCTCCAAGACAGGGGAGGGAAGCGTTTGCCCTCCCCTGGCTCTGCAGGCTGCCAGGGAGCTGCGCTGGCAGAGCGAGGACTCTCGGGCAGAACACAGCCCCTCTCGGACCACACACCCCACCTTAGGGACATATATGGAAAAGAAGGGATAAGGCTGGAAAGAAGTTAACCCATTTTCAAATCTTACTAAAAAGAGAAAGTCTGTGAATGAAGAAATATAACAAGAAAAAAGCACAGCTGGAAAAAATAAAACACAGAAAATCGATCACCTTAATTTCAACATAACTGAAAAGCAAACAGCATCAATGGTGAACAATGAGACATTGATTTCCTTTTTTTGATATGTGTAGATTTTGCAGCATTAGTTTGCAAGACTTCTTCTAAGTGATTTTTTTTTTTAATGTCAAAACTGAAATCCTATCTTTGGGTAAAAATAATAATTACCTGATTGAACGCACTGAGTCACAGACTGAGCCCAGCTCATTTCATTGTCATTGAAATTATAGCAGTGGCTTCGGAAAGGAATCCAAGATATGTGATCAGATTCAGGACATTTTCCAATATCCTGCGGTGGATCAGAAGGAAGTATGTCTAAAAGAAATGAGATATTATGGATGCTTTCATTCAGTAGGGATTGCAGCTCTTCAGATATGAAATCAAGTTTTTAAAAAAAAACCCCACCAACCTTTCTTAAAAGTACTTAAAATATTCTATGGCATACAGTGCCAGAATTATCGGTAACTATGTCAAGAGTGACAATGAGGAACAGAGCTGCTCAGTCACAGCTGAATGATTAGATGTGAGCCTGTGCTACCAACTAAATCAAACTTGGACTGTCTCAAGGATATTTGAGTGTTCAAGGTTTTTTGGTTCTAGTTTATTTTGTTATAACCAACAAAGTTGTATAAATAAAAGATACAGTAAAAAGCAGAAAAAGAAAAGCCAGAAAACTTCCAGACCTTCAGGAGGTTCAAATAATAATTTGATTTTAAATGAAATATCATCTAAATCATAGTTTACTGTGGAAATTTCCCATTTAATATTTTCCTCAAGATAGTAATCCTTACATAAAATTTCTGAACAGCTTTAACTCTGACAATGCATGGAATAATCTGAAGGGCATTGAATATTTGAGTAGGAGCCTTTCATTTTCCTGCAAGCAATGACATTATGGAAAGAAACAGTAACATTGTCAGTTAGTACATGCATTTTTAAAACAAAAGTTGTAAATGAATAGAGTTGAAGTTCAGAGCATGGCCTGGAGAAGAAGTTAAAGAAAAACTACACAAAAACAGATCAAAAGAAACTCAGAATTTCCATTAACTCAGTGTCACTAGAGCTAACAGCGATTGCTCTAATACAAATGAGAAAGCAAAAAAGTTCAGTCCCATCCTGAAGTTTGCCTGTAGCTTTTAATTTTTAGTATGCCTCAGGGACACCCATAGAATCACTATGAAGTATGAACTTTTATTTGGGCCAATAACACTCTTTTTTCCCCAACACCTTAATATATTAGCAGTAGCCACCAGACTGCTGCATGAATAACCAGAAACTTCCTCCTTTCTCCAGTTTTTAGAATCCAGTAACAGTGAAGCTGTAACCACTTTATGAACACTGCTTATGCTGAAGGAAAAAAAATTATTTTATACTCAGTGGACTTTATTGATTACAACCCTTCCCATAAAATCCCTGTCAGCAAACAGTTTCACCTTCTAGACTCAAAGTGAAATGTTTAGTACTCCCACAGACTCTACGTTCTGTCTGCCTGTGACGTAGGATAACTCCTACAGCAGTTATCACCCCAGTCCAGTGAAATGGCAGTATCCTGGCTGGTGAATGACAACTCCATCAAAATAAAACATTGCTCATGTAAAATAAAGGTTTTGACATTACATGCTCAAGCTTACTACTCCTTAATATATACTCAGAAATTTGTATTTCGGTCAAAGCAGATCCAGCAAGGTTTCTGCCATAAAACTGAAAGTCATCATCATAGCTTACCCTCAGATTTTTTGCAGACAGGAAAATGTTTTTCATTACAAGGTGCTGTTTTCCAGGTCCCATGGAGTTCTAGATAGACACAGGCTATTTTCTGTTTTGGTTCTCCATAGTACCACTTAGAAAAGTTTAATTTCCTTTTATCAGTCCATCTGTAATAGCCATAATTCTGAAATTGAAACAGACGTTTAACGTAATTTTTCTACACTCTCATCTGCTGTTTCAGGTAAGTGGATTTATACAAATGCACATTTTCACAGTGATATATAAAGCTCAGTTTGTATATCCATGCTAGTACTGTTAAAACATTAATTGAATCAGGACTCAGCACCATAAAAGTAAGACACAGCAGTATGCCTCCCATGCTGCAACAGCCCATGAATGTGTTTTGAAGGCTAAATGGTGCTTCCTGGGTACTGCTGGTGCTCAGTCCCTTGTCAGGCAACGTTGTGAGGTGGAATCGCCGTCCCAGAGGAGTCAGGTCACCGTGAAGAGCAGCATGACCACAGGAACATGAAACCTGTCGAAAGCTTGGGTGGAAGCGGGTCTCAGAGGGTGGCTGTCAAACAAGGACCGTAAGCTCAAGTAGAGTTTTGAGGACACCTATTCAGGAGTAAACTGCAGCTATCACTATGAAAAATCTGAGAAAATTATTAGTTTGTTAGGAGCAAGAGAGAAATATGGAGGAGCAGGAAGTCTTGAGACTTTGCTTTGTTTAGTCTTCCCCACCACCACCACGTGGGGGTTTTTTTTCCAGGAAGAATCCAAATCATTACAAGCAAAAGGGAACAAACCCAGACAGTATATTGCTGACATTAAGAACTGAGGGATAAAATATGATCCCACTCTAGTGTCTAGATGTGTCAAGAGGCCAGGTACACAAACCCCTCCTGAGCTCGGCACCATCAGGGCAAGATCGCTGCCTGGGGAACAGGAGGAACCACAGAGCTTCACTCTGCAGCAGCAGGGCCGGGTCTTTTATACGGACCAGGAGAACATGTCTGGTGATCCAAATGTGGTCATAATGGAATTTTAACTGCTTTCTAAACCATGTTTCTATGACTGTAAAAACAACCAACTTTGATATCAAGTGGACTGGAACACTATTATGTTGTTTTGTATAGAGATGTCCCGTGGACCTGTGCAAGTGGGAGGATTCATGTCAAGGTTGGTGACTACCAATCACTTATATATTCTAAGACCAAGCATTTTGTCTGGTAGGGAGAGGGACTGTTAGAATCATGGAAATACGTATTGTTCAGCAACAAGTTCATTGTCTCAGATGTTGTAGCCTTGTAAGAGGCTTTATCAGAGTGCTGCTGCTTCGTATAATCAGAAATTCTATTTTTACACAACATTAATTGTAAGTTCTCCCTAGTGATACTGAATTTCAGACATGTTTTGCTATGTTATATATCAGCGTGGAATCACAGTAAAAACAATCACTAGCTAAGAAGATGATTGCTGATTGAAGAGCACTTTCTTATTGTCAAGGTAGTTTAGTCAGCTCAAAGAACATCTCAATAGAAACTTGATAGTTAAGTGCAATGAGCAACTGCATATTCACTAGAAGCCAAAGCTCATTTTGACACAGTCACAGAGCTAATAAGACTGATGCTCACTTGAGTTTTCCCTTACACAGTGGTGGACCTGGATCTCCGTATTCACTTCTGGTACAGTGTAGCTTTTACTGCTTTTAATCTTTGGGATTTAGCAGGTGTAACAAGGAGGGTGTTCAGAGGCACATGGTATATATCCTGAGAACCCTTCTGAACCAAAAAGTGATGAAAAAGCTACAGCTGCCAATGATCACGAGGCACTAGCCTTAATGACCCTGTTGGTCGCATTGAGCAGAATTCACCTCTCCTAAAAATGGCCATCTAAAAGTTAACCAGGTAGTTTGACCTAACTGTCAAAGATTTCCATAGAGTTAGTAAAGAAAGGCCAGCACCATCAGAGGTTCCCATCCTTCTCCATTGCCTGAGATAGAGTTTAATGATTTAAGATGGATAAAGTTAAATGAAGTGACTGCTGTCCACCAGTCCCAGGTTTCTAAATCTGTTCATGCTACGATTCTCCCTGCTGATAGTAATCCAATCATAGCATTTAACTGCACCACCTATCAATTTATTAATCTTACCACATTGCTGTTGAGCCCAATCCATAAGGGCTCTCCATATTGTGCTGCCTGCAGCAGCAGGAATATATTACTGTAATAATCAAAAATGCTGGCAAGCTCTGAAGATTTCTCCTTGCAGGCTTTTCTTGCTTCCTCCCAATTCATTTTAGAAGGAATGACTAAATAGCTGCTGTTACCATAATGGATGAAATCAGAATCTGGAGCAGTTGTGGAATGAAGCAGTTCAGGCTCTGTAGGAAAGAAGTACAAATTTGAGAGGAAGGGGAGAAAACAGTGAAAAATTACTAGCTACCTGAATAGCAGTATTACTTTTGAGTAACAGATGAATATAGCGTGGCAGCACAAGCATCAAATAAAAGCATTTCTTATTTAAAAGACAGGAGACATATTTTAACAGTAACTTGGAATTATTTTTAACTATAGTGTAAACAGTGTATTCAGAGATTAGGAGAATGAACTGTGCACACCTGTAAACATATACTTCACCAGATGAAATGATGTGAATACTGGTCACATGGTGATTCTCCCCCCAGAGCTCTCTAGGTCCTGCTCCCACAGTGTGGGTAAAATTCCTCCCACGCACAAGCACAGTGCAGGATCTCCACACCACTTCAATCTCAAAATAGGGGTGAATTTCATTCTAAGCAAAGTTTGTGAGACTGCTGCTACTTCTTTCCCATGTAGGATGAAGTGAAAAAGGAAACTGTAGTTGTACCTTAAAAGATACATGCAGAAGTGGAAGACAAAGACCTAGAGCTAGTGATAGGGACAGAAAAAAGGACAAAAACTGCTTTCGTGTTCAGTCAGTGTAGAGAACACCCTGGCAATTATTTTTGCTAGTGATGCCCGCATGCAGCTTTCTGCAATCACACGGGATGAGGCCGTGAAACATCTGGCCCAGCTGTGGCTTCTTCATGTATTTTTACTTGCTGCTTAGCAGTTCCCTGTTTCTATTCCTGCGGACTCTGCAGTGTAGCTGTGCTCCGGATGTGTCTCCCACCCTGAGGACACACGATGAAAACTAGAACTTTTGCCCTTCTGAGTATTGCTGGTCTTGTGATATAAAAGCATTGCTAGAGACTGATGAGCAAACTAACCAGTTTGACTGACCTTAGTCAACTCCCCAGTGGAGTACGTGTGAGGGTTTTTAGTGAGGCGGGGGTTAGATGTGGGGGTGAGGGTGGGGAAACATCCTTTAGTGTGTTGTCTGTCTAGCTAATACACCTATGGTGGAGGTCACCGACGGATTTGTCTTTATGCTTTGTATTTGCATTTGCAAAATAACCTTATTCAGATACCTATATCTGTGCTAATTGGACAAAGCACAGATGGCGAAACTTTTCTGTCAATAGAGAAAAAAGGCGTTTGGAAGGCACAGCTTTTCTAACAACCTGTTTTGGGCATTTGCCTCACTATGAGGCAGGTGAATCCTGCCTTCAAAGTGTCTACTTGCCATGTGCAGGCAACTTATTTAAGTGTAGATGTCTGCAGGGTAGGTGAAGTCAGCCTCTGTGAGTGTTGGTGGGTATGCTGGTAGGGGAGAGGACATAAAGCCAAAACTTTGCTATAATCCTTATCACAGAGAGGGTTTTGTGTCTGGAATTCCTGAGCTGGGAAAGTAGCCCTGCTTCCCTCACCCTGGCTGCTACAGGCACAGCCAACTGAGGACTCATATGGTCAGATTGTTCAGTAAATGTCTTCCAACAAAGAAGGTGAAAAATAAAACTTACTGCTGTCCATCTGACATATATAGCTTTTTTTATGCTGGCAGTCAGTGTTTTCCCAGTACCCTGCTTCATCTACAGATCTTTTTGTCATTGCAATACAGTCAGTCTGGGGAAAATTTAAAAAAGAAAATTATAGCTGATAAAGTGCAAGATGTCTGACAAAATAATAGAAATAGGTTTGAGGAGACAAAGCTAATAGCTTTCTTTTCTAATTTTCTGGCTCTTCTTTTCATTTATTGTTTCTTGGAAATTAAACATATATTATATATTTTAAGCAAATGTACTTTCCATGGGAGATTACTGCAAGAACTTTTGTCAGTTTATTAAAATTTCTTGGAGTGCACCAAAGGTATTTTTACTATGTAGTTTATGGTAATCTGTACTGAATTTGTTGAACTTTCATTTGGATTTATGCTGTACAAGTAGAAACAATATAACAAATTGCTAGTAATACTGAGTATTTTCAGTAAAATCTAATAATTCTAATAATTGTAATTAATTCTAGCAGTAATTATACTACAGCACTCCTTTTCTGCAGTTTGAGAATTCTGCAAAGGAATGACAGTAGTTGTAGGCTCTAAACAGGCCTATTAATCTCTGAGTACAGCTTTAAAAACTTGATCTCTGAAATATTTGGTCGCCTTCTGCTTTAAGCCATTGAAATATAGGATCCTAGCTGAGATAGAAGTCAGGCTGGTTACTCTAACCTTGAGTATGTTATCCAAGTTACACATTTTCCAATTTTTTTTTCTGTTTACCTGTATTGTAATATACTTCCAGTCAACTTTTATGTAGTTATCTCTAAATGGGAATCGTCTTGCCCACTTTGAATAGTCAAAAATGCTTCCATCTGTCCAAAGATATGTATCCTCACTGTTAATGTCATTCAGTCCAATCCATGTTTCACTGGCAACATCCTTTAGGTGGAAGGTAAAGAAGGCTATTAAAAAAAAAAAAAAGGATCAGAGAAAGAGAGTAGTTGAGGAGTTGCCTTTCTTCAAATTCCATGTAAACCAAATTCCAAATAAAACAACTAATCAACTTTTAAAAATATTAGAAATATCAAGTTCAGTATTGTTAGACTATAAGTTAATGGTAAAAGAGAAAAATTACAATGGGTAATTGAACTGAAGCAGTTTGATTTCATTAAAAAAAAAAAGAAAAGTTTTTTAGATAAAAATTATATAGACTTCTTGGAAATATTATAGAAGTTAGGGCTAGAAGGGACTTCAAAAGGACTAATCAGTCTTCCCCAAGGTAGCATCAACTGCACATGTCATTTCTGATGGATGTGTGTTTACTGCCTAACTTGAATATCTGTGGGCATTTCATTACTATGAACTATTACTATTTATCCCATCTTCCAAGGCCATGGAGAACAGATTATTCTGTTCCTTCCACATGACACTTTTACCAAGAGATGGGAAGTGTCACAATATCTCACTCCAGACTTCTGTCTGGATCAAGCAGCTCCAGGTCTTCCTTCATAGGTGATGCTATTTAGATCTGGAGGCTAGTTCGGCCTTGTCATTGGATGGGGAAATGCTCTGGCTTCATACTTAGTGCCAAAAGGTTCAGATGTCATACCTTGCACTTGCTCATTGTGTATCGAGGCCAAATTTCCCCCTAATTCTATACAAGCACTTCTTGCAGAGTGCCAAGTCAGTCTCTCTTCTTCTCTGGATCCAAATATTTTATAACACTGCGGGGAGAGTAAAGGATTAGACAAAATTTCAGGTGTCAAAGAGTCTTAAAACCATTGGTTTTGATTAATTCAGCTCTAGTCCCTGCATATAAACACCAGCAGATCTGTGAAATGGGAATGCATTCAGCCAGCAAGAAGGAGACCCAGCGAACCACGGGGGTGTGTGTGCAGCACTTACAAACCTGTGGGCTGTCCAAGGTTAGTGCTGAGCAAGGGCGGGCAACCTCCAAGAGCTTTTGAGGAATTAAGTAGACATCCAAGGTGCATGGATAGAGATTTCGGGTCACGTTACTGAAAAGTAGAATTTTTGAGAGACTGAAACTATTTCCTCATTGGGAACATAATTTGGGGCAGCCATCTCTCAGGTCAAGTTCTTTCAATTATATGCCACAGACTTAGTGCTGAAGCCTGAGCTTTTGTGAGCACTCAGCATGAGCAGAACAGCGTCAGGAAGAAGTGTTCTTTTGTACCGTGTATTAGTATCCCATGGGGATTTTTCCTGAATACCAGTGTAAAAAATTGTTGTTGTGGTTGTGTATGTTCTGAGGGGCAAAAGGCGTGGTTTTTAACTGGCATATGCTGCTTCTCCCTTTTTATGCCCTTTAAATGCATAAAAACCTTTCCTATTGATTGCACTGTGGGATTGATTTGTGGTTTTCATTTGCTGGCTGGGTTTTTTTAAGTTCATATGGCCAAGTGTACTTTTGCTTAACTTAGCAAAAAAACAATGCTTGCTTGTTTTCTATATTTGATTTGACATTTATTGCTGTGTATGTTACTTTGCTTAAGATGACTTGTTGTGATGGCCTATTACATATGAGAAGTGTGACCTTTCATTTTTTCATCTCCATGTTACTCAGAAAAGGGGCTTACACTTACAGATAAGGACAATGGAACAGGATTTCCCTGCAGTAAGTATGTCTAAAATAAACAGAAAACTCTAGAAACTGAAAAAGTAACTATGGCTAAAGGCACATGGACATTTACAAGAATTTTAACTGAAAACATTCAAATTCACCTTTTCTGAGATTCAGATATGGACTGGCCAACATGAAAATTGAACTACACTGCTATTTAGAATACCACTTAATAAACTGGTGTATTATATAGTGATATAAAAGCGATAGTTGTTTTCTCTACCTATAGCAAATCTGCTAAATATGGCTGAGATTTGTTTCTGCACCTTATTGTTAAACAAAAGCCAAGTTTCAGGACATCCTCCCAGAGGTGGAAGTACAGTAGGAGCAAATCCTGAGTAAGTTGAATTGTGCCTTTCACAGATGAAGGCATTTTTCACAGCACAGCTTGTATCTTTCCAAAAGCCTGTAAATAAGTGGAATACAGAGAATCACTGTCTGAAACTCTCGTACCACCATTAGAGCAGTCAGCCCCAAACAGTATTCATAAAGCCCAAATGAAGCCTTCCAGAAGCAGGTGAAACAGCTGCCATGTACACATTTACCCAGATACACTCCCCCTTCCTCTGCGGTATGTTTGTCTCCGTATAGTGATGGTGTGGTTTTAAACCTCAGCATACTTGTTATGAAAAACTGTCAGTATTGTTCAACCGCCTATTTGCAGGGTAGCCTCAAATTTAAATATGTAGCAAACATTTTGGATTTTGATGCTGATTTTTCAACCAAATATTTCTTATTGCTATTTTACTCACCAAAATCTTTTGACATTATCACACAGTTTTCATCATTATTCGCAAAATTGGGTTCATTCGGAGCCCAGGCAACATAGTTCACTGGGGTCTTATCCAGCCAGCTGAAAGAAACAAGAGGACAGGCTGCCAGACAGACGTCTCCAGCAGTCATTTAGTTACAAGGTCTGTTTAGGTAAAGGGCTGAGCAAGGTATTAGCAGTGACCAGAAGGCAAAGGCTCTACATATATTGGAGAGGACATATCCGCAGCATTACGGCTGCTTCTCATCTGTTTAGTACTATCACGTTCAAGTCCCATCAGTGTCTCATTTTGCCAGAGCCTGGATAAACAATGTCATACTTGAAGGGAAGGCTTCTTATGGTCTGGACAAGACTGAAACCCCAAGATCTCACCAGTGCACGGACTTCCCTCTCATCCCAGTAAGGTGTCCTCCTGGAAGCCTTCCGCAAACAGATTTCTAAAACAGGTTCCCTACCAGCAATTTCAGAAAGCTGTTGGGTGAGATGTTGCTTACACTTCTTGCTTCCAGCTCCCATAACTTGAACCACATCCACATGTTATCAAAACCTCCTGGGCTTTCTCTGTAGCCATTGGAGATCTGGGCAGCATTAATCTCATCCTAAGCTTGATGTCTAAAGTGGATCAGGTGAATAACATCCTAAAATTAGCTGCTTCTCCTCACTACCTATGAAGGGTTGCTTGGTTGTTTAACTCAGTTCTTCCAGTGTGAGAGAGAAAGTGAAATTAAGTGAAATTAATCTTAGCCATGAATTTCTATTGGCTTTGCTCTCCCAGATTTGGAAGGAAAACCACATTGCTCGCTTAAATATAGAAGAACTTAACACTTCTGATCTGAGACATCTCCTGAAAACTATCCAGAGTTCAGTTGCACAACAGTTACTAACTTGTAAAATGAAAGCACACAGAAATGCTCCCATAGAGTGCGACAAAATTACCATCATTTGTTGTCCGTTACCAGTTTTCCTTTACTCACCTGAATTTCCGATCAAAGCTGACAACTAATCCAATGAAATATGATTCCACTCTGAGTTTTGTGTAAATCTAAAACAAAAGTGATTAACAGTTAAGCACTAAACAGTTCGTCAACATCAAGCAAAAGTCTGGAAGCCCATTAACCAATCCCTGGTTTTTTTTTTTCCCCTTCCCCCCCCCCCCCCCCCCCAATATGAGCCTCAGACAAGAACATTCAGTAGGTTCAGACCAGGTTTCAAGCAGGCAACAGGGATATGGGGAACATTCTGGAGTGAGGAACCCACTGGACAGAAAAGCAATAATCACTGTGCTGAACACTATGTATCTTGGAAGAGATAAGCAACCTGGGCTTGAACTGTCCTTTGCTGCATATTTAACATTTGCATGCCTTTTCCCCCCACCTACTAAAAGCAATAGTAATTTCTTTACACGTTCTGAACAAATATATTGTTATATAAATAAGTAATGTAGGACAATAGCCTGCCTAAATAGGCTGTTCCCTTTATTTTATCAGCTGCTCTGCTTCAGAAATTAATTATAATTAATAGGCTCAGTGCTTACATATTTCCATAGAAATTGTCTTTTGCTTTCATTCTCAATGACAACAAGATCTGCAAAGTTCTTCTGACAAATTCTCCGTGCTTCTTCCATATGGACATGTTCTTTGCTGAAATAATACTGCTTATCTTCATACACAATCCATCCATCATTGGTGGCTTGATATTCTGAAAGATAAGGAATCACACATATTACATTCATATCTGGTCTGTACAAAGTCTGAAAACTATATAGCAAACTTTTCTTTGAAAGAGGAAAAAATCCTACCAAATTTGTAGTTTGGTTCAGGTTTTAGAAGTGTACCTGTAAAACAAAAGATCATCATGAGCAACATTCCAAATATAAAAAAATTCAGAGAGATTTGCTTTATGTAGTTGCAAATGCTTTGTATAATAAAGAAAAAACCCTGAACTATGAATTACCTAATGCATTTTCAATAGTTTAGAGTACATACCAATGGATTAATTTTAAAAATATGTATAATTTAGAAACATTTATCTAGTGAAAATATATGTCTTTAAAGCATATATACATATCTCCAAAAGCACTGTATTAAACAATCCAGGATGTGCAGTAAATACTTTGTAGATGAAACTTGCATCAGTTTGAAAATTTATTTAGTATTTTTACTTGGCATGCTATTAATAATTTTTTTTATATTCATGGGACTAGAGCCAACCAACATAATCCAGCTAATATATTAAGTTCTCAGACTTACCTACATAGTAGTAAAGCATTCACAAGTACTGAAAGCATTAATGCTGGTATCTTGTTAATACCACACATCATTTCCAGTGTCTTGATGCATTCCTCCTATCTTAATGGCTTAGGCTCTTACTAGGACAATCTGTTTTTGAGAGTCCTGGAGAGCCAGTAGATACCAAACTCAAGTTTCTGATTACAGGATGAACCAGGAGGAAGTAATTAATCTGTTGCTATTCCCAGAGCCAGCTATAGCCCCTCAAAGGTAGCTCTGCTTTCATTTGGATGCCTGTTATTTTGTTTTTCACAAGGACTACTAATTCTGCTCTTAGCTTTCTCCATTTCTTCTGTGGTTTGATGGAGAGGAACACATTATTAAAGGAATGACAGGAACAGTTTAGATGAGAAATAAGCAAACATGAAAAAGCAATTAAAATTCTTCTATTGGGAACTTTTAAACATTTTCTTCTTAAGTATTTAGTGAAGAATAGAACTAAAATCATTCAGATATCTTCATGATGAATTTACATAATTCACCTCATTTTGATTTTATTTTTTAATCCTAACATAACTATGACATTCCTTGTTTTTCCAAAAAAATGGAGTACCTTAAGTAAATATGTGTCTGAACATGAGGGAATTAACAGCTGAACATCTCTCCTCTCAGGTTGATCATCAGCTAATCTAGATTCACAATAACAACATCTAATTCTTCTATTTTTTTTTACTTTTGAAAGGTCACCTAGGATCAAGATAAACTGATCAGAGTCTTTATGTCCTGGTTTCTGAACTCTGAACTTGGTAATCTCACGAAGAGCAGAGAGCCACATCTGTACAAAGCGGCGTGCCCAACGCAGCAGAAACGGCTGCACAGGATGTACTGCTTCAAGCTGGTATGCAGAAGTCAGTGTTTTGATGGTGCATTTGTATGACTAATCTACCCACAAGGGAACAGTGACTCTTCCTTTTCAGTTAAGCAATTTTTCAATGTTAGCATGGTGCCTTATTCGGTGTTCCAGGGTAATGTTTTTTGGCAGAGTCATCAAATATTAGATATACTCAGTGTTTTTTATATAACTGCTTCTCCCCTCCCCTCCCTGTTGTGCCTGCAACTAGTTCCCTGTGCGTGTCCAACTTTCTTTTCATTTCAAGAAGCTTTTAAGAATCTCCTGCTCCATAGAGATGCGGACAAGTATTCAGTTTACAACCAGGAAGCAGGGATGTAAAAAAGTAGGACCGAGTAAGCAGAAAAAGTCCTTTCATTTTCAGTTGTCAGTCAGGGTCCTCAGCCCATGAAGACCCTGTTTCCTTCTGGCAGGCACCCCAAAACATGTCCATCAGGTCCGTTTCACGCCCTGGCACCAGGTGCAGGAGACCTGGCGTTAAGGCCCTGCTTCCCAGGCAAAGCTGGTGGGTGCAGGGGTCCTTCAAGGCTACACCAGCCTTTACTTTTGATCTCTTTTTCAGAGTTGCTGGCTCCTGTAGCCACTGATCCCTCTCTTTGGTTCCCATTATTCGTTTCACAGCAGGAAGCAAAGCTTTTTTCTCTTTTGTACAGAGAACTCTAGTGTCCTGCATCCTCAGCTCTCCTGGGTACGCCTGGAGCAGGTAGAAATACAGGGAGGGGGTGAAAGGAGAGGAGATAAGTACCTTAGCCTTGCAATTTTATTCAACCCATGGCAGAAGAGATAAAGCCAGAGATGAAGTAATAGGGACTTCTTTAACTTCCTGCATCCGAGTACAATTGAAAGATCTCAATTCATTCCTCTTGCTTTATATGTTGCCTTCACTGCAGCTGGTTTTAAAATGAACAATTCCCAGTATCTTTCTTCTTTTCAATTTGTTTAAATCCATACAATTTGTTTTTGAACTTGGATTTATCTGTCCAATTAAATAGGGAAGTAATCATACCTTTTTTTGTTTCACAAATCCAATTAAGTAAGTGTTCACAGCGCAAGTCGTTCCAGCGCATTTGGGGTGATCTATTAAACATAACACAATGTTCAAGTTCTTCATGGTTGTTGGGTTCATCTTCATCCCAGTTCTCATAAATTACCTGGGTTGGAAATACATCCCAATTACTATGTGATTTGAGCTGAGTGGAAGTAATTGAGATTGCCATCATAACACAATTTCAGGATCTCATCATCTCAAGTACCTTGTTTATGGGATTAATAGGAGTTCAGATAGGTCTGAGAGAGCTGTGAAAATCATGCTGACCAGACCAGCTCACTTTCACCAGTGCTCCCTGGAGAAGGAGTAAAGATTACACAGTAGAGAAAAGCATGTGTCTGATGGAGGAAAAACTGATGGGGTGGAGGGAGTTGTATTTATCTTGCTTTATGAAAGATGGCGGCCTGACTTCTCTGTACTGACATACAGCAGTGCCTGGTCTGGGATGCTGTGAAGATCTAAGAGCATGGACTGTGGATGATGGGCTATAACATGGTACCAGGGATGAAACAGGCAATTTTGTACTTCCATTAGTGTGTTAGGACAGCACTGTCCCTGAGCACTGCAGCTGTTCAGCCAATGGATAAAGGACTGCTACGCACCTGCCAAAAGTTTAAAGAGATTGGAAAAAAAGGCATAAAAAGATGAAAATTTATATATTCTAAAGGGCAGAAAGTCAATTAATATCCAGGAAATAAGTACTCACAGGGGAACCATCAATCCAGGCAAATCCTTCATTAGGATTTAAGAGAAACAAACCGATCCAGAAAGCCTGAGTGTGTAGTCCTTTATCCCTAAAATAAACCATACAATATAGACACGTGAGTGTAGAAAGTGGGGCCATGATATAAATGTTGGAAAGCATAGAAACATGCTGCTTGCTGTCCCATCTGAATTGGTCTCTGCTCCTTCACTGTTGTTGGCCCATAGCCAGGCTCACTGCCTGCACTCTGTCGAGGGGTTTGATAGTGCTCTGCGGTGGGACAAGACTTGCCATATTTGAAGGTAAGTTAAAGGACAAGTGATGTGGCACAGAGCTAGCTCAGGCTCCCATCCTTGTGGCTGCAACACAGCTCCTTGCTGTAGCAGGAGTTCACGGACAGAGGCTTTAGCAAAAGTAAAACATCAGTAGAGAGCTGTAACACAATTTAACTAATGAAAAATAATGACAATTGTTTTTCAACAGATTTGATTTGCTTCTGGGCACTTCCTATGTAGTTTATTTAATAGTTCACACTATTTATCTTATCGTACTTATGGACCAGATAAAATAGAGTCCTATTTCATTCTCTACATAACATGAAGATTTCCCCTTGCGAAGATTTCATAGTCTGAAGCAAAGAGACTTAACAGGGAGGTAAAAACATGTTCAGCATCTCACAATACTGAAAAATAATAAAATGAAGAAGGGTGAGATCACAAAGACTTTTTATATGGCAATTTTAATTCTATTTGAGAAATTAACCCTGGTTTCACCACTATGTGAAACAGTTTTAGTTAAATAGCTATACATTATGTACCATTGGGATGTCTTGACATTACGGAATACAATCAGAATGTAGTGGTCTAATTTGGGGGGGGAAATAATGGCATAATTTCTACATTGTGGGCAAGACATGGCATCTACAGTGCCAGCAAAAATTAATTAAAATTAATTCCTGTTTGATTTCAGGAGTCTTCAGTTTATGGTCAGAAATTTCCACATTAATTCCTTGCATTTTGGTTTACATTACACCTTAGCTCAAGGGGGGTTTTGGGCATATTGATTAAAATATGAATTTCAGCCAGTTAGAAAAAAGGCACAGTTGGAGCTGAACATTTTATTGTCTCCCTTTTGGGAGAGGGACTAAAATGTACAAAGTTGATCAGATCTGGAGAACAGTCTTGCTAAAAACCTGTTATGAAAATTTCTAAAAATATCAAAGCCTCTTTGAAATATTCAAGATTTGTTTTTTTAAAAGCAATGTTTCAGGATGATATTTCCAGATGAAAAACTTCCATTTTAATTTAAATTTGATTGTGTTTATTCACTCACTTGCCCAGCTCCAGATATATTTTGAAGGAATTCTTATGTAAAATAGCATGAACATGAAAAAGAATTGTTGTGCAAGTACTCACGATGCTAATTGCCATAATAAAATCTGGTCTTCTCTTGTATTGATTGTGACCAGATTTCCTCCTATTTCTCTACAGAATTCTTCAGCCTCAAACCAAGACTTCTTTTGGTTTCCCTCTCTCACAAAAAACTGTTGAGAAAAAAAAAAAGTAAAAATAAATTACTAAATGTGCAAAGTTTGGCATATAAAAATGTATAATTGCCTATGTAATTAAAATCAGTATCACTTTAGCACCCCTTTGTTCTTGAGTGAGACAACATAATGTCTGTCAGGACCTGTAATATTAAACATTGTTAATATAAAGCGTAAGTTTTTTTTTTCTTAGCATCCTATAGTTTAAAATAAGGCAAGAGTAGCATAGGTGTCTGAGGAGAGGAAAAGGTATCACAATGTACAGAGAAGAAAAAATAGTTTATAACTTAATTGGAACTTTGACCACTGAAAGGCTTGAGGAAAGATGGAATAGCTCAGCTGCGGTATTTTGCAGTAGAAAGCAGGAGATTTTTGAGGAATGGAAGGTGGAAGGAAGATCAACAGGTTGGAATAGAAAAGATAGTATGGACGGAGAAAGCCATTTGGCAAGGTGCTGACCCTGGCCAAGGAAGGGATTTTGTGTGGTGGTGCAAGCATACAAATGGCTCCACTTTCTACTATGAAGTACGTACATTCTTGAAGTAAGGAACTGGATGCTTGACATTTTGGGGAAAGGATAATCAACAATTTGGTAATAGGCAGAACCAATAATGTTAGTAACAATAATTAAGTGTGACATAGAAGTTAGACTCTTACAAATACAGGGCTAAAATCATCTCTGGCCTCCCAACAGGCAGAGTCTCAAGAAAGAAAATGAGAGGATATTTATGTAAAGACCTGCAAGAGCAATGTTGCATATTTACTTTTACTTGATCTATTTTGCCTTCTCTTTACTGTTTCTTCTTCTTTTCAAAAAGTAGGCTTTTTAAGGCATTTTTAGCTAAATCAAGACAATGCCCAAAACCTGTACTTGCTGAAGAGTCACCAATATCAAACTAAACCTGGATCTAAATGTATCACTAAAAATATCACATGCTGTGTGAGAAAAGGGTGGCAGAGGGCCAGGTTTCCTTAAGTTTTCTCTCAGAAACATTGTCTTATGCAAGTCACACTGCCAGCTCTTGAGATGCAATACTATGTTTTTCTGAAGTCCCAAATTCCTGGAAGTAAATAAATTAGGTGAGGTTTTCACCTGGCATTTAAATAAACGAAAGCATATTTCTAGGACTCTGTTTTCATTGTTTCAGGTTTTCCATTGTTGACTTCCATTATATTTGATGGATTTTCTCATGGTTTTTTTGCCCTTGAATACCATGGAGAAGATAATTCCCCCAAAATTACCTAGCACCTGGATCCCTGAGTACCACAGTGACCGCTGGGCTCCCCTGTGCTCAGGCTCGCCGTGAAGGTAGACACACACTTACTTTGAAGCATGAGTCTGCCTGGAATGCTCCATCCCAGCCTTCGGCACAGGGAGACGCAAGGATCCGTACCGGAGGAGCAGAAGGTAGGACTCCTGCTGCCTGCTGTTTGCAAAGATAATTTGCTGTCTTCTCACAGCTAACAACATCCCATAATCCAGCTGCAACTCCAGTTCCCATGGCAACACAGCCTTGCTCTTTTCCTTTGTGATATGGAAAAGAAATGAATAAAACCTGTCTTAATTGCTCTCTAAGAAATGAGACCTTTGCTTTTATTCATAGAAAATTATCAAAAGGAAGATGCAGATTATGCAGATTAAAATATCTGGCCAGAGCCAAGAATGGGTCTCAGAGACACAGCTTTGCCAAAAGCAGAGACTTGCAGCTTTAGAATAGAAATCTTCCTTATCTTTCCACTCCAGGGAAATCACAGGACAAATGGCATTTGATTTTATTTACATATGCAGCAGATGGCCTGACAACTACTTTGGGGTTCTCAATATCCAGGTAATTCAATTTCAAGAAGGCTGATATCAAGTACAACAAGTCTGTTTGAAGGCGTAACTAGCTAGTGTGAAGGCAAGTGTTCCCACATAGAAGTTAATCTCTTTTGCTGAAGTGCAGAAAAGCTGGACGTTCACTGCTCATTTCTCACATGTGCACTTTGTGGGTCAAAAAACTGTTCGTAATAGTTTTTCTCAGTCTGATGAGTTGTTGTTAACTGGTGTTAAAAAGTTGAAAAAAAAAGAGACCATGGACCTTTTTAACTCCTGCATAGTGTTGCCTTCAGTCTAACCCATTAAATATGTGTTTCTATACAACTTCGCAGGAGGTTGACCTATGCAAGACCTGACACTTGGCTGTGACAGTGCTAGTTGCACTGGCATCAAACACACGGTCTGGTGGTGTTGGCCACTTACAGCTACAAGCACAAAAGAAAGTGCCTACTCTAATTTCTAACACCAGGGGATGGAAAGCAGAAAGCTGCATGAATTGCGGCTGCACTCCTATCACAAGGGTTGAGCCCGTGCAGAGCTTACCTGGCATTGCTGTGTTCCAGTGTGTGAAGAGAGGAGTTTCACCACTGGTCCACCTGAAACTCCCTCGTTCTTCTGTGTCAGAGAGACCGATCCAGAAATACTTTTCAGACCTCGGCCCCGTCAGACTAATCAGGAAGGCTTGCTCATTTCTGAAGTGGAAAACAGTGGTCATTCACAACCTATTACCTTGCAATATTAATCTAAGTAAGTGGTACAAACAGAGGTGTCACTGTCATGCTAGCATGACCACAAGGCAACAGCTCCTCAGTGAAGTTCGGGCAAAACCTCAGCAGGCTTTTAAGTGTGGTCAAAAGAATTTGGTGAGGGACAACTTTCTCCTTTTAGCTGAAGGCATCTTCTCTGCTCTCCAAGAAGTTCTGTGAAATGTCACAAATCACCACTCAAGTGGGATTCTAGTTGTATTTTACTATTTTCCTTGTCTTTCCAAATCTTCGAGGTGCCACAAACAGACCACCTAGTCAGGACCAAACTGTCAGCTTTGCTGGCCATCACCTCTGAAGGCAGTCATGTTCCTTAGAGGCCATGAAGTCTGCAAAGCCTGACTGAGATAGGGGTAGGTTGGAGATGATACATTCTGGCTGTGGTGGGAAAGGTCCTGGGGAAGGTTTCCTAGATTTGTTCAGAATTTGGCTTAGAAGGTAGTTTAGGAAAATATTTTTATTAAAGCTTTCCTATCATAATGAGATAACACCCGTCAGTAAATAGATGAAAATTGTAGTAACTACTTTCCAACAGAAAAAAAAAAAAACCAAAACACATAGAAGGTGCTTTAATTAGGAATTGAAAGTTAAGAGAAAACTGTTTAACTCAAGAACCCCCCAAATTTGAAAACTGTTATAATAGATTAAGTAGAAAGCCCTAAATCATTGAGTCTTTTTTTTTCCTGCACAGATAATTTTATTTGGCTTACTACTACAAAATTTTTGAAAAGTGCTGATAAAGCACTTTGAAGACTTCAAAAAAATGGACAAGTTTTGCAAGTTTCTCCATCAGAAGCACTGATTTTGAAATATAAAGAAAGATATTTTCGTACCTGCTTTCCACTGTAGCTAGATAAGCTTTGCTCTGTTCACATGTCTTATTTGCTTCTGAGAACGTCAAAAGTGCAGAGCCTACCAAGTAACAGTGAAAACCATATCTTTTCCAACCCTGTGACAAACATAAGGTTCTTAATGTGAAATTGAAAGAGACTTCAATATAGAAATTAGCTCTGCTCTTTTGTGTATAAATATTTGATGTTCAATTTGTTGCAGCTAAGCTTAAAAACAAGATGAAACTGGGCTGATCTGTTAATAAACAAAAGCTGGTTTTTTTGTTGCTGTTTGCTCGTACAGAAGGCTTTTTTTGTTTAATGGATGACGTCAAGATCTTAGTTTCCATCTCTTTTATGTGTATGTGACTTTTCAAAGAAAATTGTGACTGTGCTATTTGCTATGGCTTTCCAGTGCTCTGTAAGGCTGAGATTATGCAAACTGCACCGTAACGAGCCTGTGATTCATTTGGGGGGAGATGCAGCTCCAGCCTTCCAGAGCTGTGGGGTCTGACATAATGAAACACAAAAATATTGCAATATGGAAATGAATTCACATACAAGCACAGCTCCCCAGAGCTGCCCCTGCCAGCCCTCAGTGCAAGGGGTGAGGAGATGTTCTGAGCCAAGAGGAATCCAGTCAGTGCTTGTTTGTGGGGAGGGTAGAAAGGAGGAATATCAGTAAAACACCCCTGCTTCTTCCTGCTCTTAGAGAGAGCTCTGCTGACCAATATAGACATAATGATTTTCTGAAGAGGTCAACTCTGGAAAAATTACTTGTTTAGAAAAAAATAACCTGCTGATATCACTCAAAGGCCAACTAAGTAGTCCAGCGGTAGTAATATGGTACAGGAAAGCTAATCCTTTAATGTTTTGAAATTATTTTCTTTGTTTTATCATTCTTATGTAGTAAGGACTTCATAAAGGCTTTAAATAGACAGCAGACCTAAGAGAACAGACAATGTGGCTTTTGGTAATTTTACACGTATTGTTAGGCTAAGAGCGTAAACAGAGAGAATAGTGGTGAAATTATGATGTTAAAGATACATGTAATTTTGTCACATAATTAATTTATGAGACAGTATTTACTTTCTGGCAGCCTGGGTCCTCCATTGCCTCTTTTTCAGAGGATTGTGCTGAAGCCTTCTTTTTACAGATGTAGCCAAGTTGCTTATCACAAACATCAGTTGCCCAGTATCCATCCTAGAATAGCAAGGAGAAGAAACAAATGTAAAGAAGTGGCATTCATAAATATAAGAAAACCAGTGTTTTCCTCCTTCTTCACTACAAGGCACACTGAAATATATTACCTAGGAAGGCTATAAGATTGTTGCTGGGGATTTATTAGAAAAAAAATCCAGATACATCTGTCAGGATTGGTTTAAGATCCATCTGATGCTGTTTTGAGGTGAAAGAAGGAAATAAATAATATCTTGAAGTCTCAGCATTACTTGCTATCATAACTATCTATTTAATGAGAGGGTTTGTAAAGATACATCTCATCTGGGGCTAATAGATCTGCATTTAGAGCAGGATTATTTCACTATACTTCTGGAAAAAAGATCAATGAAACTGAAATAAAGCACATCTGAGTGTGTTGCAGTAAATCTAACTATTTTATCCATCAAGGAGAAAACTCTGAAAAGTACTGATTTCTTTTAAAAAAAGAATTATGTAAAAAATAAAATTTAAAGAGGACCTTTTTTCCCCCCATAAAATCTGGTTTAGGATCAATTCTATTGATGCCTAATACTGACAAAAATCAGTACTATTCTATGATATAACAGTTCTTTCAATAACAGCATTTCTTTCATAACAGCCTTTTCAATCTCTTTCTTTTAAAATTCATGACACTTCTTGTGTGTATATGTGTGTGCACACACATGCATGTAAATGTGTCAACCAACCATGTCTTGCAAGAAAATAAAGTTTGTGAGCTAAGCAGTCAGAAATACTATAGGATTTCAGGTTAGGTATTTGGCAGGCAGGTGTTAATGCTCTCTCTATGTCACGGCTGAAGAAACATGCCCTAGTGCCAGGTCTCCATGTCTCAATGAAGTGACACGGAGGGACATATTGGTCTATCGGATCAGAAAATGAGGTATGCAAATAGCATCTATGATAACCACACAATGTATTAACTAGTTCATTCCCTTTCCTCTCCCAGAGCTATCTTTTTTCATTGCTGCAGCATTAGAATGAATCTAATATAAAATTTCTGGATCAGGCTTTTCACCAGATAAGAAATTTCAAAAGGCAGCACTAGGAAAATGCTACCTCTCTACTTCTGATCTCTTCTGTCCTCTAAACATCTCTTCTGGTTGATGCCCAGTTTATTGGGAAAACTATTTTAAGTTAATTTAAAAAAATGACTCCTGAATAAGTATATAATGGCAAATGATTTCAGACCAACATAGTTATTAGTTTGCATTACTGTAAAATGACTGCATGGTTATACCTGCCCCTTCATGACAACGCAGTCCTCCAGACCGCCTGTGTAGGTGGGATGTCTGCGCTGCCATTTGGTGAACGTCACAGGAGTCCCGTCACTCCACTCAAAATAGAAGTGAGCCTTCAGGTCGTTCAGACCCAGCCATAGCTCTTCTGTTGGCTCTGAAGCATGAAAAGAAATAGTTTTGCTTAAGGACCGCTATACAATATGGTGAACATTTTCACATCTGGAACAAACAGGGAGCCCAAACAGGGTGTTCTTCCTGCTTTAAGAAAGATGCTGGTTTCCTCCCAGATCTGCAGCAAGAGATGTCTTGGTTTGTACTTAAAAGGCCTCTAATTCCATCCAGAAATACTGAGTTTAATAAACTTGAGGCTCTTTATGGCTGATGGAAGATTTGTACAAACTTTCTGAATATCTGTGATTCAGAACAACATAATGGCCCGTAGCATGGAAGGTAGGACAGTGAGTGTCCCACCTCTCAGGCAATCATACTGAGCTCAAGCCATGAAGACATCTGCCAATGCATCTCCTTCATGCGGAAGCATTAGAGGGATTGTAATGGCCCATCAGGGGTGTTCACCAAGTCCAGCAAGTAGCAGGAGTGGTTACTACATATCCAAGGAAAATCAGAAGTGACAAGATATTATTTTCTTAGAAGGATATACAGCAAGAGGTTAACCTCAGCAAAAGGTTTTAATCTCAGCAAGAAGTTAAATTTCTTATAGGTTTGGAGCTGAAAATATTGAACATAGAATAAAGGTGCCAGAAGTGTAATTTTTAGAGATCTTTATGTGTGTCTATTTTTTTCTTTTCCTGCTTTATAAAGTTTTACAATGTAGATTATGTCTTGATAAATATAAATATACTTCTATGTTTATGCAACAGCAACAACAGCAAACAATACCATAAGTTAGATTTAGCCTTCAACTTGTGACATTTCAGGAAAAAAGCATTAATATTTAATAGGAAGCCCAGCTTTTATGTTACAGATGGGGCAAACAAAATACGGGCCTACGTATATACTCACTGTAACCAAGCTGTGACACTAGAAAGCTGTATTCAGCAATGTTGTGGACACTTGCCAAATCTCCGTTTTGCTTCTTACATGAAGTCAGAGCATCTTTCCATAATTTGGGTTCTCGCTGAATGCTGTAGCAGTGGCCTGCATATGGCCGCCAACCATCTGTGCACTTAATAGGTCTCAATTCTTCTAAAATTAAAGCACAATTTTTCAGAGCAATTTTGTAAGAGGAAGATAAAGGACACTAGAATGAGGTCTCTTGAGCACTCTTTACAGAAGTAGGACTATATGAATAAACATAAAGCTGTAGTTAGAAATGCAAATACATTCAAATGAAAAACAAATATCATTAAGGCACAGTATGTTAAATATGCAAATAGAATGATGTCTCCTTAAGCAGAGAATCAATGAAAAATGCCCATATTGTGTAAGACATGTAGTTTGAAATAATGCTCTTTGCCCCCCGGAGCAGTTTGGTCAGTGTGTCATGGTCTCCCGTGCTGCATGCAGTGGCTGACATTAGGCTCTACCTCCTGTTCAACGTCTTCTTGCAAACACACATAATTTTCAGATGTGGAAAAGCATGAAGTAACTCTCTGGTAACTGCAGGTCAGGAAACAGTGCAATTAGTGCAGAGTTGGTAGTTTTGTCTTCATATTTACTCAGTGGCTTTATTATTCCTAATTATCTTTAAAAGCTTACCTTAAGCTTGTTTTAAAAATAGAGTCCTGCACCTTTTTTTCAGATTAATAGGGGAATAAAGGTTCTGAAATTATTTCTCTACTTTCTTTAATATAACTACTTCTTTGTAAAAGTAGCTTTTATAACATTCCCAGGTGACAGCCTCCCGCAGATCCCTCCTGTGTGTGGCATGTTCATAGCCACGTTGTATCATCGAAGGCTCAGGTCGGGGTGGCCCATGGATGAAATGTAGCTTGTGCAAATACTGCTGCTCCTCGTGGTCTGCTCACATGAACCCAATGCATTGCGTACTGTTGTCATCAGAGGAGGATTTTTTGCATTAATATTAGAATAACTGCAATAGCTCATTTGGAGCAAGTGAGAAGAAAATGAGAAGCATAAAATTTCTACTGTATTTATGCAAATTTGATTGCTGGCACTGGTTACCATGACAGAGCAGCTTCTATCTGTCTTGCAAGAATGAATGATAGAATGATGGAACAAAATAGTAATATTCTGCTATGAATGGTTAATACACAATGGGAGGACAAAAGCAATATCTAAAAGTCTGTGTGTGCATGTATAGCTGTGTTTTTCAAAGGTTTCTAATGTCTTGGTTGAAAAAATAATGTTGCATACCTTTTATCATTTGCAGATCTTTACAGATTGCTCTTTCTAGAAGTCAAAGAAAAATCTTTCTTTCTATTTGACTAACCTACCTTTGGGTATAATGTCAGAATCGGAGTGGAAGTTTCTCTTTTTACAAATGTAGCCAAGTCTCTGGTTACACGCTCGGTTTTCCCATTTAGCATTCTTTCTGGGATTCATCACTCCACAGATTTTCCCAGGCAGCAGGACAGGACTTCCTTTGAGTAAGAAAGAAAATAGAATCTCACAGCAAAAATAAATAAAAAGATTAAGAAAACCCTCATATTATTAGTAGAAACATCAACTTATTCTGATTTCTTCAATGCTTAATATGAAGAAGCCCTCTCCCATAGGACAACTGGTGTTGTAGTTTATAGGATACTGCTTTTAGTTTATGCATTCACAGTGAAGTAATGACCCTCCATTGACTTTGTGTCAGGATAGTACTAGGAAATTTCTGGTTCTGTTCCTGATACTGATATCCTGGTGCTCACAGACAGAACAGCTGAAGCTAGACCGTTGTCCTGTGTCAAAAACTTCTTTAAAAATATTCAGTTTTAAAGTATACCATCCCTCCAGTATATCTCAAGAATTACACAATTCTACTTTCCTATAAAATAACTTTTCACTTTTCTGTTGCAGTGTTTAAAAACCTCTGTAAGCAGCAAAAGAAATTGCCTGATACAAAATTTTTGAAAACTTAGAGGAGAGTTTAATTATTCCTTTACCACCTTGTAACTCTTCCAAAAGAAGAGATGGCTTGAAATACTTGTGGCACAAAGAAAACATGGGACCAACCAACCAAAAAGCAAACAGAAGAACTTTCCACGTGTGAGGAGCACCACAAACCCACCCCTGTCTCCCTTCCTTGATGTGGCCCAGTGCAATTTTGCATAAACTGCTGAGGAGTTATGAGCTGGCTCTGTAAGCCTTTCAATAATATTTAGAATTTCTCCAGACAACATAGTAGCATTATTTTCTAAATATTTTGCTACTTTTGGAAGATTTGGTTTATATTTATTGTCTTGGGCAACATGTTATGGAAAAATTCTGATCTCTGGTCTGCAGGGTTATATATCACCCCAAATGACACTCTACTTTCATAAACAAGCTCTTTGGTTATGTAAGAAAATAAAAGAACTTGCTATAGCTGATATCCACAGTGAACTTTGTAATTTGGAAGTGTACTTCTTAAAATAAAGATCTAGATCTTCAGCTATTCTAAATCAGAATGGCTTTCCTGAAATAAAAGTAGTTAGGGCAGTTTTTATTAGTTGGTGTCTTATCAGAAACCATTCAAAGATTACAAAATAGATACAGTTCTTACCAGGAGCCCAGTTTAAATATCTGAAAGGGCTGCCCCCTGCCCATTGCCATCCACTGTTGAAATTCAAAGTGTTCAATCCAATCCAGAATGCAAAACTGAATTTTTTAGTTAGCTCTAAATTAGAAAAAAAAAAAAAGTCAGTTGTATCTCCCTATTCTCATTCTTAGCAAGTTCATCTAAAAGAAATAAAGTTAAAAGTAAGAAATATATATTTCTTAGTGTAAACCACCCACAAACCAGTACTTTCTGCATTATTGAGGTGCACAGATTAGAAAAGTAGTATATTTAAATGAATAAATACTGATTTAGCAGAGATGTCAGTAGTTAAAAGAGCAAATGAACATCTTATTTCACTACTTAAATAAGAGTTTACTTCTCTGTCTTTGTTTCATTAAAACATAAGAGATGTAAAAAATACCTTATTTTCATCAGGAGATTGTGCTAAAATGTTTCTGTAACCGATTTCATGGAGTAAACACATCACAAATACAAAGACAGTGTGCCAATTAGTTGCTTCCAGATTTTTTTCTATGATGTGAGTGGTTTCAAAGTCTCCTTCACACCATTTATAACCAAACTGATACCATGATACTTGCATCTGAAATCCACTGAATTTATTTGGAGTTTCTGTATGCAAATGTACCCATATTAGGACCAATCTAGCCATCATCATATGTTCTCCTAGGAAAATTAATATTCCTTGAAACACGGAGGAAAAAAGTGAATTTGAGGACCAGACCGTAGCCCTGTTCAGGAACAAGTGCACTGGCACAAAGGCAAGCGGAGGAAACCTTCCCCCTGGGAGAGGCTGCAGACGATGCAATAGCTCCCACCTGGAGCACAAAGGTGGGATGGGGCCATTTCTCCCCCTATAGAGATTTGAGACCACCCCTTCATAAAAAAACCACCAGCTAGTGGAAGGGCAATTCAGACCGTTTCCCTTTTGGCAGCTGCTGAACCACTCCTGACAACCTGTCTTCTTCGCTGAGACAGCAGACAAGGCAGCCAACTTCATCATCTAAAGCTCTGGGGCAGCATATTTTAAGGTCTTGTTCTCTATCATTTTACCTCCTATATATGCTTGCTCATGAATCTCTGTGATGCTTAATAGTTCTGCGTTTTGCTGCTGACAGCTTTTCCTTGCTTGGTGCCATGTTAGAGCTGATTCTGAGTTTATCTGATAGTGAATGCCAGTTGAAACATCTTCTGTCCAGAATCTTTCTGTGTCATCTGGAAGAAGGAGTGACATAATGCTGTTAGAGGATTGACAATGCACCAACTAAAAGCAAATCAAGTATGTAATGATGCAAAATCTCTAAAAATGCACAGCAATAACTGTATGCTATCATCAATTTTAAAGCACCAGAAAAATTGAAATCAGATTAGGCATCTATTTTAAAAAAGTGTCATTTTTTTTAAATTAAAAATATTATTTTGAATTTCTAAGTTTTTAGAAGGGAGTGAATAAGTTTCCAATGTTTGCTTTTAAATTTTCTTTTACACAAAATGTAGTACTAGGTAAACCAAATGTATCTGTTGATTGAGAAAAGAGATTCTGGGGTAAAGTCAGAGGAGGAAAGTAAGTGTGTAGGTGAACTATGACCCTGGAAGTTCTTCATCGTCGTGGGGCAGGAACTCCTTCTTAGTTCGTCATCAAGAGAAGCGGTGTTTTCAAAAATGGCAGAACCTGGCCCTTGACAGCCTGAGGAGCTACAAAAACACTCTGTGTAGCACCAGTGTGCAAATCAGCTGCAGTCTTTGTTTGCAGAACAACTCAAAAAACCTTTTGAAACTGTTGTGTTATTGGGAAGGCAGGTGGTGAGAAAAGTAAAACAGTTTGTGTCCTGAGATGGAGGGATTCAAATGCAAGTTCAGTGCAGAAGATAGTACAAAGATGGGAGAGGAGGATCATTTTAGCAGTGGCATTTTGGGGTAGGCTGGCAATAGGAGACAAGAACAAGGCAGGAAATGGATGTTAAGGGCAAAAACCAGCATTTAGCGATTAAGTGAGAATTGACTGACAGGGCACGGCTGAGGAATAAAGAGCAATGGGAATTTTTTGAAAGAAAGATATCAGTCTAAATTCATGCTGGTCATGCCATGTACTTAAGTCACATAAAATGAGCTATCAAAGAGCCTCCTCACCTCTCTGGTCCACAAAGAGAAACAGGCACCTCCAGGAGGTGAGTCAGAACCTGGCTGGGCTCAGCCACACTCTGGAGGCACCTCTTCCTCTCCGCTTGCTGGAGAGGGAGCACTGGGCTACTGGGGCTAATGTTCAATCAGATGATTTTCATTTGGGCTACTCTGACAAGGTTTGTCATGAGGGTGTGCAGCTGGTACCCAATAAAGAACCTGGTAGCTCAATAGATGGTTTTCTCAACAATGTTTCATGACAAGATAATAAATAAAATGCAGGACTTACTTATTAGTGGGCAAAATCCATACAGTTTATCAGCATCAAAGTCTGCTGTTGTCGCACACCAGAGCAAGCCATCTGACCTACCAGCATCTGTGCACTCGTTGTACTGTTTGCCTTCATATTTGAAAGGGAATACACATGGCTGCCCATTGGCATTTCCTTGTAATGTAAAGGTATCTAGGGGGAAGAAAGGGTTAAGAGGACATATGAAAATAATAATAAAATCATAAATCTGACCTCCTAGTAATGGACCTATCTTATCAGTATATCTGTCTATCTAAACTGAGAGGTCACACCATCTTTTTTTAATTAATTTTTATAATTTTTTACCCCTTGTGTTGCTAGAGATTTTAAATAAAATGTTGTTTTAGTAAAATCCGGGGTTTAAGCACTGTGTTTAGAGTTTGATATATATACCTTGTAGAAAAGTAAAATTCTGTGGTGATAAGTTGCTGATAAGTTGTGGTTCCTGAAGACGGGAAAGCCACAAGTAGATCTCAGACAACAATGAGTTCACTGCATTGTTGTATTCTGTACGGCTCAGTAGGTTTGCTTTATCACTCCATCTTTTCATTAATTGTTTAAAGGAAAAGGGTAGCTGACCAGAGAAAATACAGATCAGGTTGTCATGAGCATATTTACACAATAAAAATTTTAGGGTTCAATCACACATTTCTACACTTGGAGACATCTTGCAGATTCACCCTCAACTCAGATTCTGTAAGATTAGTAATGCTTCATCTTTTTAAACTATCACAGTATTGTGGGAGTGTTCTTTTATCCTGAAATGTCTGATATACACTCTCAATCTTACATTCATGCAAATACATTCATCTGCTCAGTTCCGCATATATTACTGCTTTACCATTTCTCTCTATAGCTATACCCAATGAATGATATACATCTTCAGATGAGAATTATTTTTCTAATTTGGTCATACTGGAGGGGAGGAGCCAGTTCTTCCTTCTCATACCTCCTGTTTTGTAGCAGAAAGAGAAATTTGCACAGCTATCATGAAAACATGGCTCTAAAACCCTTTGACTGATCACTGCACCATGGGTGTGATGGGGAGGGTAAATGGAAAGAGTTCCATGCTTCCTCATCTCTCATACAGTGCCATCTGATTTAATATTCCCACAGAAAGAAATTCCAGTTTAAAGATCCTGCTCTTCTTACCTCCATTTCCCCCAACATCCCTACATCACACCTCTTTTATTCTGTGAATCAAGAATTGCCAGGATAATACCCAACATCTCTTCAGATCATGTATTGATTCTGATAACAAATACAAAATAATCAGTCTATGCGTTAAAACTGTAAAGCTGCCCAAGGAAAAGCGTTTTCCTATCTAGTTTAACACAAAACCAACAGGAAACTTACCCAGTGACTGTAATGAACCATGTACGAGGGAAAGAAAAACTAGGAACCTGGAGAAACTCATTGCAAATGTAACTTGCTTTTCATTCCTCTACCAAATGTTGGACTATAAGATTGGCAGTGTATAAAATCCTTCTGAGTCAGAATAGTAACAGGTCCTTCTCTGTGTCAAAGGGTTGATGGATAAAGCTCTGTACTCTAAATAAGGAAATATCCTGTCACATGGTATTTTGAAATAACTAGAGTGCACATTGCAAACACTGCTCGCTTTGATGACCGAGTCACTTCCAAAACTGAAGTCTCCATCCTTGTCACTAGAGGTGGTGACATTTGTCTTTTTCTGAGACTTTGCTAGTATTATCTATAGGTCAGTTGTTGGGGTGCTACACAGGACAGACCTCTAAAAAAGCAACTTGAGAATTGATGACAAGAAACCTGCAGTGAAATACCATTGATTAAAAACTCAGACTCTTCAAGCCTTACATCTCAGAAACAAAGGGAGACAAACCCCTAGTGATTCAGTACATTGCTATAAAGTCACAGCTCTACATAACTAGAAGAGAGCAGACGTTACAGGATCTGCAGTATTCAGTGCATTATGAATTATTGCTCACTTTGAGGACTAAAATTGCTTTTTTTTCTGCAGTGTTACACTGCTTACTTTGATCACAGTTTGAGGCTGTGCTGTTTATAACTACTTGTCGAAGACCTGAAAGAAGTGAAGTCATTCAGTGCCATAGGCTAGTGGTAAGCTTCCCTATAACAGGAGGGAAACTTTTGCCTGGAATGCTTTTGTCAAGCAAAACGATGTGTTCATCTATCTGAGAAATTCCTAATGAGGATGTTCCAGGACAAAGCCAAACGTAAGCTAAATTGGAAATGCTCCTTTTAATCTGTGAGCAAAGTGCCCCTCTGAAGACTTATATTGTCATGGCAATTCTTGTACAATTACACTGCAAAGCTGTCTTGGCAAATATTCACATACAGACAAGTCCTACTGTTCCTTCTGTTTATTTACATTAGTGAAATTAAAAGAAGTTGTGATAATGAAATTGAAAAAAGTGAGAAGCAAAATAGTCAGTAGTAAGATATATATAGAAGCTGAACAGATGTCATATGAGGAGGAACTATCTTTGCTTTTATTCATAACGTGTTAGGGAAAATTATTGCAAGAACTGGCTTAAGCACTAAGCACTAAGAAATACATTTTCAGAAAAAAAAGTCTGGATTTCCGTAAAACTAGGAATTGAATAAATAGTTTAATAATAACTATTTTATTTGCAGGTGACATTTAGGGACAGCTTAGTGTGAGCAAAACTTGCCAGAGTAGCCCAAAGTCATAAAGCTGAACGGTGCTCAACAGTGGGGTGGGAGAGAAATAGAAGCTGAGTTTACTGAATAGAACCATATTTTGGGTACAGCTGAAATCACAAAATGAAATGGCTCCAACAGAGGGGATCCCAACAGAAAATGCCTGGAGGATGCAATTCCTGCCTAGTTCTCTCCTCTGCTTCATGAAGTGCTAGCTGCATTCTGGTCCAAACTGTGCTTTAGTTACCCACTTGTGTAAATGGATGCTTGTGAGGATTCAGCTCTCCAAGGCTGCAGAGTGATGGGGGGGGGAAGATTAGTGCAGACACTGGGGTAAGCTAAAAGAAGAATTGCGCACTTCAGAGCTGCCCCTTTCACATGACCAACCAGCTTGATGCTGGTTACAGACTTTTGGGGGTCAGTGTCCTGCACGCTGCATTTCACTTGTGCAATAACCTGTCCTCACCAGCGTGCTAAACTCTTGAGTGTATTTATGCCAAGAAAACAGGAGTCCAGTGCCTAGAAAAGAAACTTCATTACTTTTTATTATTATTTCTTTTAACTTTCCGGCTTGCTCAGTATAGACGCTATGCAGCCTGGAGAAGGCAGGTTGTTTGCCAGGGCTATCTGCTAAGCAGTTTTCCCCATAAAGTGTTTGGTGCTTAAATGGTATTTGCAGCTCACCTAAGTGCTATTTTGTACTGCTTTCCACTGTTTTTCTAACATCTTAAACTTAGTCTTCTTGCAGTTTTCTAGTACAGTATCATCTGCTGCATTCCTTAGTTTTCAGTTCCTTTTTCTCATGTTTAAAAATGGCAAGTTGGTGCTTATTCAAGCTGAATTCAAAGTGGTGGGGAGAGAAGCCCTCCTTGTTATTGATGAAAGAGTTATTGTGCAGACAGGAGCACCTCCCTTCCCCTTTTCTCTCACTTGATTCACAGGGAAGGCAGAAGTTGAAAATTATACTAATAAAAACTTTATTTATTTCAAAGCATTAACAAAAAGAAGGAAGAATGCAAGAGTGAAAATATTTTAATTCATGTTAGTGAACATACTACAGTTAACAATCATATTATCAGATTGAAAAAAGACCAGGACCTACACGTGAGCTTAATATCCTTTGCTGGTATGAACTGTATTTTTCCATAGCAGAAAATGAAAATGGCAAGGTTTTCTATCCCAAAGTTAACCAAGATAAGTATATGAAGCACCATTTTATAAGTATAATAGGATACAGCTTTAAGAAACAATAAAATTGCTGGTCTGATGGAGTGAATTTTGTGGAGCAAAACAAGTTCAAGATTGCCATAGAGTTGGGCATATTTTGTTTTTTGAGTTCTTTGCAGTGTCCACAAAGTCATGGGAATACAGTTCTAAATAGTAATCACACTTTCTTGAACATTCGTTCTCACTAGTTGACTTTTATAGTACTTTTTCAGTATGTTTATTTGTTCTTGACAAGCTATTTACACTAGTGCTTTTGCTAAGGCGCTTGAGAACATCTTGACAGTTACAAGACTATAACATTAATCCTTAATTCCAATTTTGTAAAATATGCATGATACAAAAGAGTCTGCTACTGCAAAAAGAGAAAGGGGATGTAATTTAAGATTACAGAGACCCTCACTAGAGACTTTTAACAGATACATCCTTTATTTTCAGCAAGTAACTTGCTCCTCTGAATTGGTACATTCCACAGAACCCTTTCTCACCAGTTCCCCAGTCACCAACACATCATTTTAGAAGTGTTTCATTGCCAGAATCTGTTGATAGTTAGATGTGTCTTTTTCTCTTGTAGAAATAGACTGACAGGGCAGCTCCAAGAAGAGCGAGAATAGCCAAGAAAATGAGTGGCCAAACGGAGACATGAACAGGTGGGTGAGTCTCTTCATTCTTTTCCTTGCCTGAAAAGAATGCATATAACTGTGAGAAACCTAACTAATTTTTTATTCCACATACAACATGAAAAACATGGAGGAGATGTTCTCTCTTGCCTGAACTTGGAGTCTGTTTGGTGAAAATCTAAGCCCCAAGTTGTTGCTGATCAGTAGCCAGGTCTCTGTTGCTAAAGCTAAGGTGGTTTTAGTGAGTCTGGATTAGAGTGATATACAATGCATGCAGTGGATGCTTGTAAGAATTTAATGAAAGTGCATGCTTTTGATATGGTATGGGATGCTAATTATTTGGAAATTAGTTTTACAATATTTTTACGTTACATTATTTACAATAATATCTATGGAAGAAAATTGCATATACATCTACATAGGTTTTAACAGCCTAGTTAAAGCTCTCTGCCTGTTCTCTAAGTTAGTCACAAGTTGGGTCACTGCTGAGCTTGTCAGCTCATGGTTAGCCCTGCAGCAGTCCAGTCAACCAAGAACATGTGAGTGCTCGTGTGCATGTAAAAAGGCACCGTGGGATTACCCTGAGTGATTTATAACCATGCATCCCAGTAACTGTCAGCAGGACTTGCTGTGTAAAAGGGGGTGATTTGGGTAAACTTGTTTTAAGTTCTTCTTGTATTTAGATTTTTGTTAATTTTCTTATGAAAGCTCTTACCTTTTTGCTGTAGAGGACTCCCACTTGGCTCAACTTCAATGAATAGCGGAGAGAAATAATATGACACTTCATTAGAATTCATAAGTTTAACTGTTTTGCTAGAATTGTACAGGAACAAAAACCTGAAGTATTACCATTGCCTTAATAACATATATGTCTGTTACAAAACGCAACATAAGTGAGGCAAAAAATACATTACTAAGGTTTTACCTTTCTACTTAACATTACCAAACTGTAATATTCATTCATTTAAAACTTTATATTGTTTTTATATCTACCAACATTCAAATACTGACTCTTTTCTATGTTCACTCAAAAATACTTTTTCACATTTTTCATGAAATATTAATTTTAATTTACTGAGAACATAATGTACAACTCTGGAGATTGATTTCACTTAGCACATTTTAGGAAGCTCTGCATGTCCAGCAGGATGCTGCTGTTACAATTAAGTTTAAGATTCTTAAATGTCTTTCCTAGAAAATGCCCTTTGAATCAAGGCTGCAATCTTCCTATTTGCCTATGCATAAGAAAGAGACAGAGAAAAAAAAAGACCTTTATAAAAATCTTTTTTGTTGAAGAAGTGCAAAAAAATTTTGACACTCAGAAAAGAAAAAAAGTGAAACATATTGGATGTTCTTATAAAGTAAGAAAAACTATTCTGAATCAAGACTCCCTAAGTTATCAAGAAAATATTTCTCCTCTTAGCTCTTTGCAAACTGTAATGCAAAACACACTTGCTACCCAGAGGAGAAGTTATAAAGGCAAAATGTAAAATGAAATGAAAGCAGAGCAGAATGTAAAATAGAATCATAGAATCATTTAGGTTGGAAAAGACCTTTAAGATCATCGAGTCCAAACGTCAGACCAACACCACCATGCCCACTAAACCATGTCCTGAAGTGCTTCATCTATGCATTTTTTGAATACCTCCAGGGATGGTGACTCCACCGCTTCCCTGGGCAGCCTGTTCCAATACCTGACAACCCTTTCAGTAAAGAAATTTTTTCTAATATCCAATCTAAACCTCCCCTGGTGCAACTTGAGGCCATTTCCTCTCATCCTAGACAAATGAATAGGTACAAAGCAACAGTAACCCCTACTAAAGCAGGAAATAGTAAGATATGAGAGCATCTTATGATTCAGTGGATGGATTTTAGTTCTTCTTTATTATTTTAGTACTGTATGAGATGG